ATTTTACTTACTGTATGTAATATAGTTCCTCACTCTCAAAACTGTTTGGTTCCATCAGAGGTTTTAAGATGCATGATTTTTGGATATGCCTACTTTGGATTGTCTATTTTTCCAGAAAGAAAAGTGAAAAAGAGAGGACCACCTTCACCCCAAAGCACAAAAGCGTAACTCCCAGTGAAGACATGATTGGTCAAATTTGTTCACAAAATGTTTCACTTTTTCCACTGGGACTAACGATTTGTTTTATTTATCAAAAAACATAGTGGAGTACCTTTAACAAGTTTAAGTCTTGCATTTTCTTCCGTGCTGCAACGGAAGAAAATGAAAAATCCACACAGGAAACCGTCTCAAACCATTGCACTAACAAGTCAACAAGACAATTATGATATTAGCTGAGTGCAGAGACCACCTCCCTCTGATCTCTGAGCTTGTCCCCTTGTTTTAAAGTCCTTGTCTCCCACAGATGCTGACTGAAGCGTGTTGGGCACAGCCAGAACTACCAGTGCCAGAACAGATGCTGCGATTTGGGCTCTGCCATCAAAGAAAATTGATGCCATTTGTCATTGTTTACTTGCCATGTAATCACCTTTCTGCAATGGTCACATGGGACCTTGAGCTTTCAGAGATTTCAATGCACATACTGTGAGTTACGGGGACCGCAGATCACACTGGTGAATAGGTTTTTGTTTTATGGCAGAAGTTTATTGATCCTGTTGCTGGCTATATTTACAATTCCCAGCAGAATTTTAAAGTTTTGCATAATTGGGGGAATTCGGATTGACAATTAAACATAGCAACAATTCTGTATCTGTAACAATATGTGTATCTTGCAAAGCATGCATGCATCCAAAAAAAATCTAAAAACATCTGACGAACCAACCTTTTTTGAGAGCGAGGAACTACATTACAGATATGAATTGTCAGTGTTCAATATCAGCAGGAATAAATTCGTATCGATCCTTACCTTGCATGGATGGTAATTACGTAGTAGCCACCACTAAACATAGTCCATCCATTCATTTTCTCCCACTTTAGCAGATCATAGATTCCAGACCAGAAAATTGAGTGCTCTGCCTTTGGAGTTTTTTTACCACAAAAGTACGATACAGCTCTGACTGCAGACGCTGCTCCCACTGCACTCTCTACCAATCTCATGCTCCATCCTTCCCTCACTGTCAACACCAGATATACATAAACTCCTCTATTTTAAGAAGGACCTCTCCATCTATCTCAATCACACTCGGTTGCAGACTGTCCCAGTGCATGTTGAAGGTCCCGGTTTATTGAAGCCAACTAAACAGCCATTGTCTGCAAACAGCGGAGATGAAATCCTGACTCCTTATGGCCACTGGCTGCGCTTGGGAATTCTCTTCATAAAAATAGTGAAGAGAAAAGGTGACCACGAAAAACGTTCGAACGCCTTTGCAAGATCGACAGGGTTAGACAAACTCCCATGATCCCCCAAGTACCCGATGAAAGTATTTGATATAATATATACAGTGTGCAATGAAGTATATGTATTGAGCAGCACAGTGCAAGGAAAAAAAAAACTTTGACTCCAGTTTCTTATATGGTTTTATTGGAACCAGAGAGATTATTTGAATTGGGCACCTCAATGATATTCAATCATTAACTTCTTGCATGAATTTTGCATTTCTACTGTGTATATCACAATAATTAGTATAGCCAAAAGGGTAGATTGAATAAATCCGTAATGGCTACTGTAAAATGATAGCACAGCCTTTTCTCAAGTGCTTCTGGTTTTATTGGATTGTCAGTATCTGTGACAAAGTGAAAAGAATATTCTGAGCTGTGACATTATGCCCTGACTAAAATTCCAACGAATTACCATAAAGTTGGAGAATTGCTATTGGAAAACACATACAAGTATAAAATCAGCGCTATTACAAAAGTAAAAAAAATAACGCCCTCAGTCCTATCCGGGCTCCATCACATTTCGACTGCAAAGAACTCAAATGTTGTGACAAATTGCTCGCGGCTCGTTTACGTCAGAAGAAGACGCAAGTTTATATCCGCGCTAATTTGGCTTTTTGTCTGTTTATTGTTTACAGTGGAATTAGCTGTTGCCGCAGTGCACCTTTCATCTCGTCTGTCTGGATCCGGGGCGCTTGTGCCACCACACTAACGCTCCTCTGATGCTTTGAATGCTCCGGCAGATGTTGCGTTCGTCATAATGTGTTTTTAATCACCGCTGCAGAAATCGGATGCCAGCAGGCGACTTCCAATTGGACGCGCATCACTTCTCTCCTCTCTCTTCTCTTTAACAGCAGAAGAGGCTTGGGGCATCAATCACTCTTAAGTAGGAGGAAAGTCATATGTTTGTGGAACAAGAATCCTTGACTGCAATCGCGACTTTGGGTGCACGACTCTTAGGTGCGCGTCTGTCCTGGACTCACCAACAGCTCTTTATCCATCACCTTTTGTTTGGGTTTTGCTTTTCCTTGGATCACAATAAAGACAGGGGATATTCAGGTACATCCATCCATTTTTGTACCCAATTCCTGTATACATTGATGGAAGCTAGGGCGGCACGGTGGCTTAGTTGATAGCACTCTCGCTTATCAGCAAGAAGGTCCTGGGTATAAATTCCTTTCTGAGTGGAGTTTGCATGTTCTCCCCTTGTTTGCGTAGATTTCCTCCAGGTGCTCCGGTTTTCCCTACCACTAAAAACATGCACAATAGGGATGAATGTAATGAGTGAATGAATGGATGGTGTTTGGTCGGAGGCTTTGACGCGCCAGTGTGTGCGGCGACTCGCTTCTGTCATCGCCGTGTGTGGAGAGAATGGAAAACTGAACTCTAAACAATTCTAATGCGCTATTTAAAAAAAAACATGACTACTTACTTACTTACTAACTTTCACTAAAAGTCAACGATTGGAACTCTGTCCAACCAGTTCCTCGCTCGAAGGTTCCATCTCTAGTCTTCAAATCATCTGAGTACCACCGTAATTAAGCCATTCATCTCTCAGCCCAAAGGGTCAAATAGTGACTCACAGGTACAAGGATGCAAAAGGTCCCAACATAGAGTTTTTACAAGACTCTATGTTGGGACAAACAGACTCTGCAAATGTGTGTTGTTTGTATTTTATAATTCATGTGGTTTGGGGTGGGTCTCAGGCAGGAGACTGCGGTCCATCAGGACTAGAACCTCCCGCCACAAGAACAGTTTCTTCCCCTCTGCTGTTGGACTCTTGAACACTTCTTAACCTGTCCCCCGCCCTTTATAAAGTCACTTTACTGCCCATCATACGTCACCTTACATTGTGTGCACCGTGTGCACTTGTATATTGTAAATAGTAACTGTAACTCTATTTTAAATTTAAATTTATTCTTTAGAAGTGTTTTTTATTCTTATTTTTATTATCTCTTTCTGACTGTTGCACTGAGCCAAAGCAATTTCCAAGTCTGTGACCTCCTGTTACTTACGTGGCAATAAAAATGATTCTGATTCTGATTCTGATTCTGATTCTCTGGGTGGTCAAGTTGATTGGTCTTGGGGAATTGTTTTCAACCAAACTGTAAAGCATTATAATTTGTTTTCTCTGTATGCAAATTGCCTTATAAATAGCATTTGATTTGAAACAAACTGTAAGTAAGTAAGTACATTTTATTTATATAGCATATTTCACTGATCAAGGTCACCCAAAACGCTTTACAATAAAACTTTACCAAAAAGTTAAGATACCACAGCTTTCAGTTCCCAGCATCTAACTTGATTTGTATTAAATCAAAATTCACAGTTAGTCTTAGGAACAGAATCTATGTATTCATGTATTCAGTCATTAGTCAACCAACCATCCCAAAACAAGCAGTAGGAAAGAATCAGGTTTGCGGATGTGCCAGCCGGCTCACAGTAGGACACTGCATACAAAAAATTATAATAATGCAGACAGACGTCTTTGGCTAATATGCCACCAAGTGCAGATTAAATTTCTAATGAGTACACCGCAAAATACTGAAACATTCATGTCACAGCACTTGCAATTTTAAAGCCATAATGATTATAATATTAATCATAATCTTCATTTGTAAAGCACTTTTAAAAAACAATTTTTACAAAGCTCTGCACAGTCTGCGTGTAATAAACAATGAAACTGTCACAATACAAAGTCAAAATAATTAGATAGAATAAATACAGGAAGACAAAGCACACACAGCAAACATAAGAAGAAAGACACAGAAGCAGACAGTAAAATACAAAATGGGAAGTTTAGAACTAACAGTTAAAAGCTGTTTGATAGGTTTGTTTTAAGAAGTGATTTGAAAGAGGATACTGATGGTGCTAGGCTTATCTCCTCGGGCAGGTCGTTCCAAAGCCGAGGAGCCCGGACAGAGAAGGCTCGGTCACCTTTTGTCCGGAGCCTCGATCTTGGAACAGTCAACAGGGACCTGCCTGAGGATCTAAGTTTGGAAGAAGAACAGCTTGTAGGGGGTTAAAAATTCATGAATATAAAAGCTTGTTTAGAGCTTAGTAATCCGTAAAATCTTAAAATCAAAAACATACAGGGAATCTTGTCCATTCGCTAGAAGACGTCTTTCCAAATCCACCACCAGAAGCACTGCCACAAACTACCGCACACCTTCAGAGATCTCCAACACAACACATCTGGGCATGTGCCACTTGTGCCGTCGGTGTGCAGATGGCCCCTCACCGTTTGTCACTGCTTCTACTCCCGATGGGCACATAATACTGTACGGGCAGTAGCACCAGCAATCCTCCTCAGCATATCTTTGCATGATAAAATCCAAGGCCAATTTGGATCCAACCGGCTTTAAGTAATGGGCAAAACAGACACACGTCCTAAAAAATTGTAAATAATTCAACTATAGAGACTTTTCATGAATTTAATCATTCATGTTATCGCCATGGAAACACAAGTAAAAGTGGTTTGATGAGGGAACAGCAGAGAGTATCAGTGTTTCTTTGACTTTCAGGTTTCACATTGTTGTCAAAGCGCTCGAGTATTGCAGACAACAATGGGGCGTATTGAGTTGGCGTCTTTCATCTCACAAATGCACCTCTGCTTCAAACGGGCTGCCCAGTTTCCACCGCTTCTTCTCGACTACAAAGTGAGACAGAAGCCACATCTGTGGAGGTGGGTGAGGATTGGTTTACAGATCGGGAGGATAAATAAACAGTTTTTTTTTTTTTTATTTGAACATAATGTGTTCTCTCGCAAATCTGTCATGCATTTAGCACAAGCGGAGCCAGCTGAAAAATGCTATTTTGGATGGTAATGACAGTCTGGAACACAAAGAGATGTTTTTAAACGCTTTTTTTTTTTTTTTTTTTTTGTTGCATGACTATATTTTGTTTGTTCCAACAGAAGGGGTCTCATCAAAGTAACATTTTGGGAACAAATCAGACGAAAAGATACTGTATTCCTCTTGTTAGAAAACCTCTTTTTCTATACATGCTGAAACTAGTCTTTTTTTGAAACTATCAACATGGAATTAATTTCTTTATTTCTCCAGGTTTGATGCTTATAATTGTGGGGATTTGGTCTACAATCAGGATAGCTGTAACAACATTGGGGTTTGAAATTGGGTTTTATAGTTGAAATAAAATGAGAGGTGAATCCATACATCCATTTATCGTCCAGTGTATCTGTCGATGGGTTATGCAGGCAGCCATCTGAATAGAGGAGCCCAGACTTTACACACTTGCACCAGCATTATGGTAATTCCTTCAATATATACTTGAGTATACAGTATTGTTTGACACAAGATAGATTTTTTTTCTTTTTTTTAAGTATAGCATTGTGCCATACTTTTCTTGTTGTATGTGTTGTGTGCTCCTCATTCTGTAACTTGTGATGCAACACTGGAATTTCTCCACCGTGGGACGAACAAAGTATCAATTAATCTTAAACATTCAACTGTTTCTGTAAATATCTAAAAGAAATAATTGAAAACTTTACTTCAAATTATGTTTTCAATAGGATAGAAAAATATCCCCCCAACCTCCTAAGTACTCAAAATAGTTTCATTCTTTTAGTAGAGGCATGTCCAAACTACGGCCCGAGGGCCAATTGCGGCCCTCCGTGTCATTGTATATGGCCCTCTGCCTTGCTAACCCCAAAAATAGTCTTTACGATCATGAGGACAACTTCACAATGTAATCCAGACATGTTTACCTGATAGTGAAGTTCTATTTCTCTGGAATCTGTTGACTTTGTTTGACTAAACTGACATGTATTTATTTATTTTTGTATGGTACTAATGTATATGGTGAGTAAACTTTTGTCATTCAGCCAACTTCAGCTCTGTCAAACCAATAAATATATTTTACACCTAATCTTAAAGCTCAGAACGGCCTCAATCCAGTTAACCCATGTTGTCGGCCCCTGGAAATTTTCGGGGGAATCAAAGTAGCCCTCTAACTAAAAAGTTTGGACACCCCTGTTAAAGTAGTAGTTATTCCATTAGTAGTAGTAGTTCATTATTTTCATTCATCTTCACCTTATACTCTGCTCACCATTGCTTTCTTATGTACAACCTCTTCTCAAAACACACAATTTTCTCCCATTTAAAAAGCCATCAGTCCATTGTGTTAACGTCAAAAGCTCAAGACAAGGACTTTTTCAGACGGTGGACTTTTAACACTTGAGATTGACCCGTATTAAGGAGATTTGGACAAAGTGGTAGATTTCAACCACTTTGCTTTGACCCCAGACCCTGCAGCGTACGTTGACTCGACAAGCTCATCAGTTCCATTGCAGTGTCCGTCTGCAGTAAAGAAGCGTGCTTAGGAACCACTTAGAGCTCTGACCGCTGCCTTTCAAACTCGTCGCCTTCCAAGAATGTGCCAATTCCGGAGCACTGGGCCCTCCCCCCTGAAAGAGACCGGCGGCGGCAGAGGCCAGAGAGGGCTGAGGACATGGTCATTGGTTTGTCAGGTGTATTGCCTCCTGCCAAGAAAGGGGTGTATAAATGAGCTGGTTTGTTAATCGCTGCTTCTGCTCTGACCATCGCTCATCGTGCAGAGGCTTAATGCAATGTTTTTCAACCAGTGTGCCATGGAACCTTAGTGTGCCTTGAGATGTTGAATGGTGAGCCTCTGGAAATGGTCCAGTATCACTTATTTGGTCAAAATGAAATAAACTGTTTTGTGCTTGTTTGAATTATATGTAATACACTTTGATGAGAATGACTTTCAGTTTTTATAAAAGCTGCAGAATTTCAAGTTTGAATATGTTTTAGCTGGTGGTGTGCCACGTGATTGTTTTCAATGGGAAAGGTGTGCCACGGGTTAAAAAGGTGGGGAAAGACTGACTTGATGAACAGAAAGCTTTGCCAGTGTCCAAAGATTTGCCGACATACAGTAAAAGCATCCAGGAAAATATCTTGTTTTTAAAGGTTTTGATGATTGAATACACTGGCTTGCTCCATTTGCAAGTGTGTTTAACTCAAATCCAGAAAGTAAGTAAGTACTAAGTAAAAAATAATATGGAGAATAATGTATGTATACTCTCCTATTGATTTAAACATACATATTACTATAGGGCGACAGTAGCTCAGTTGGTAGAGCATTGGCCTTGAGCCCAGAAGGTCGTGGGTTCAATTCCCACCTCTGCACCTTCTCCACCGACTCCCACTGATGACTGCTGTCGTTGTGTCCTTGGGCAAGACACTTAACCCCACTTTGCCCAAAGCCCCCACTGAAAGATCAAGGCTATGCTCACACTCAGAGAGCAGCCGTCCTCCTGTGGACTCACCACCTGCAGAGGGTCAGTGAGGGGCTGGTGCTATGAGACTTGGGTGGCATCTCTGATTGCCACCCCCCTGACCCAGCAATGGATTAAAGGGTAGAAAATGGATGGATGGATGGATATTACTATATTACATACTTATTACTATAAGGGGCGACAGTGGCTCAGTTGGTAGAGCATTGGCCTTTGGGCCTGAAGGTCGTGGGTTCAAGCCCACCATAAGACCTACTTCACGACTCCCAATGATGTCTGCTGTCGTTGTGTCCTTGGCAAGACACTTAACCCCACTTTGCCTGAAGCTCCGACTGAAAGATCTCAGCTCCTGTGGACTCACCACCTGCAGGAGGATCAGTGAGGGGCTGGTGCTTTGTGTACTGGGTGCAGCTCTGACTGCCACCCCCCCGACCCAGAAATGGATTAAGGGGAAGAAGATGGATGGATGGATGGATATTACTATATTACTGATAACAATTGTCAATTTCAATAAGTAATGCTAATCTATGTTGCAGCAATAGTAAAGCTGAAAACCCCATCTCCAATGTTTTAAATTGGAAACAAAATCATACTCCAGATTTTAGAAAAACCATTTAAAAAGTGAACAGAAGATATCTGCACACTAGGGCTGAACCAATTAATCTAAATTCCTCTCTTACAAACAAGTTCTCATTAAATTCCCTCAAAAACACAGAAATACCACACATTGTTTTACACATGACTGTTTCTGGTTGATACAAACAGTGCTCTGAAGATTTAACAAAGAAGGTGTTTTGAAAAGGTGCTTAGAAAACAAGTATAACCTCACTATATTACCAAAATACAATTCTCCTGTTGTTTAGATCTCCACAAACAAGCGACGGATTGCAATTTTGTATGAGTTTATTGGTCACTTTGTTTACTATATTCCTCTGTTTGAAATGTGCACCTTGAAAAGAAAACAATGATTCAAACATGAATTGTAAATTGAATGGAATTGGCGTTCTTTTCATACTATTTTGTGTAGCTTGTTGCAAAGCTCAAAGCATCTGGAATCTAGCCTTTTTTTGATTGTCTCATAAAATTCTGTTAATTGTATGAGCTTATCCTGGAGCACGAATCTGTAAAAAAAGTTTGATGTAATGGAGCTTAAGTTGGCTCCATTACAGATAATTACACAGCTCAGAAAAGCCCAAATCCAGGCAAAACAGTTTTACAATCTGGGTTTCGGCCCTGGACTTGTCTGGTGAACTAAAGTGGCCCTCGTACGATTAAGTTGGTTTTGCCCCAAAGCACAAACGCACCTTTCATTGCTCTTGGAACCCCAAAAAACCTCATTCCCATCTCAGCTCGTCGTGGTCCTCACATCTCTTAATGCCTTTGCCCTCCTGGCCTCTTCAAAGCTAACGCTCTGTCAGTGGGAGAACCGCACAGCCATCGCACATGTCAGCACCTCGTCTGGACGCGCGCACAAGTCAGCAAATCAAAAACACCCCACATACACACACACTCAAACATACACATACATGCATGCACACTTACACATATACAAGCACGCACACACACACACACACACACACACACACACACACACACACACACACACACACACACACATCTGCACACTTACTCATATACAGTATACAGACTCACAAAGATAATAGATACATTTGTTGTGTTTCCAGACTCGTTTCAGACTTTAAAAATCCAAAATATAGCCAAACTTGAATTTTTTAACTGCAATTTCATTCCTCCTCGTTACCCAGCCGTTTTTTATGACATTTTTTTCCTGTTGCATTTCCCAGAATTCCTGTTTTTTCTTCTCTTACAGTGTAAAGTGAATTTATCGAACAGTCTATTGACCCAATTTTCTATTCATATCGATCACACATCTACCGCAATTTATATTGTTGTTTCATCCTTCAGTCCTAATACACCCCATACATGCACACACACAAACACACAGGCACACACACATGCACATACTGTACATACACATGCACATACATGCACACACATACATATACAGTGGGAAATATCAGTGTTGCATCACCAGATACAGAACAGTAGGGATTGAGGAGCACACTCTAACTTTAGCATATTAAAGAAGCAAGTAGACATGCACAGAAATACACACATGTGCACACTCAGGTCCGTGTCAGCACCTTCCCTGTCCGGGCGAGATGTCATTAGTCCGACACACATGGCTCTCATATGAAAACGCAGTCAATGGCAGGAAGTGCGGGGGAGGGGTGAGCTGAACGGGGGCTGAGAAAGAGCAGTGTCCGTGGATTAAAAGTTTGAATGGGCTGATCATGCTCCAGACAAATACGACAGAAAGAAAATTACGTACATTTAATAGATAGATAGAAACTTTATTGATCCCCGTAGGAGAAATTAAGATGTCCAGTAGCA